TATATATATATCAGTCCTTCTACTTAAAAATCTCACATTTATTTCAATGTGTTACTGCCGGGTTTTTTTTATAAATACTTGTTACATTTCTGAGTGAAAACACCAAATGATTTCATTGCACAATATGATAATCATATTCATATACTCCATGGTATTTATATGATATCAGTATTGAAGTATTAACATGGTAAATGTCCAAATAAACATTATATATCTTACACAGTTTTAAACATATTGTACATATCATTTAATGGACAACAAGACTGATTATGAAAACTGTATTTTTGCAGAGTAAGAACCTAATTGTGAAATTCCTAATGTCTGAATCTTGCTCAACCTCATTCCCGGTGTGAGGTTGATTCTAATCAAGCTATTTTTAGCGCCTTTGCTCTGATTTGAGTTTTGGCTGGAATCGGCGCAGTTCCAGGTATCTGAAGGAGATACAAAAAAACAAACAAAAAAAAAAACTCCAATAACTGTGTCCATGTTGGTAATTACTGTTTGGTTGGCTCATGTTCATGGACACCTGCAGTTATTTGGCTAAACAGCCGTGAGCCTCAAGTAAGATGAGGGTTAAATGCCTTGGAGCTGGATTTGTGTTCATTATTATGCACATTATACACACATATTACAGCATTTATTCGCTGAGAATTTTCAGATCCTACTGGGCGATTCATTCGCAGCAGTGTTCCTTGAACCTCTGGCCTTTCACACTCTGCTCAGACAGCTGTGATTACTCTGGGGCTGCAATGTTTTAAGATTTGAATGATTGGGGGCCACTGCATAGAAAAATTAGTTTGTTTTTTTGGTTGGGAACAAACTAAAGATGCTACTAAATTAACCTCAGTCTTGGAGGCAAAAAAAATGCATTAAAACACCTGCAGGAAGAAAGCAAAAGTGGAAAACAGGTGGGGAAACACTCATTACTCATACAAAACAAAAGCAAACAACATCCCTATTGTACCATAATAGTGGTACATGATGAAATAACTCAGTGTCTCTATTAGTCAACAAATCAGTTTTGTGATTAAGGGAATGTTTGTCTGAATGCTGATGTAATAATTAATAATTTTGACTGATCTGTTTTGGCCTGTAGTCTTTGATTGGATTAACTGAGAATTTTTCTATAAGTCCTTTCTTTCTTCCTCCCTGCAGTTCATTTGATTGCATTAGACTCTCAGAGTGGAGGAGAATTGGAATCGTTATTATTACTTCATGGCTTGCTGGTGGAGCAGAAATGGGAGAGGAGCAGAAAAAAAAGACAAGTCAGACATAGAGGGAGAGAGAGACAGACTGAGAGACAGAAGGTGAGGAAAGCGAGGGAAAAAGTGTGAGAGAAAGGAAGGGACAGAGGAGTGGTCATACAGTATGGCAGACTGACTGACCTTGTCTGGATCTCTTTTTCCATTACAGCCCTCCCCAAACACACTCTCCTTCCCTTCTCCCATTAAATGTGTGGAATAGAAAACTACTGTAGTGCTTGCTGCAGAGTACATATTGTATGATCCCTAATATTTACAAAAATACATAAAACAATATTTAATAGCCTTTATTTAATAAATCAGACTAATTTTATGGAGGACTAGGAGTGCCTTTTAAAAATAAAATGACAAATGACATTTAAACTATTTAATAGTTTATAACTATTTAATGATTGCAATTTTCTTGTCTGATTCCGATTTCCGATTTTTTTTGCAAGTGTGACCTGCCGATATCCATTTTCTTTTTAAAGGGGTCATATGATGCGATTTCAATTTTTCCTTTCTCTTTGAAGTGTTACAAGATTTTGGTGCATAAAGAAGATCTGTAAAGTTGCAAAGACTAAAGTCTCAAATCCAAAGAGATATTCTTTATAAAAGTTAAGAGTCAGCCACACCTACCTAAAACAACTCGTTCTAATGTCACACGCTCGAGGAATTCGGCCAATCACAACACACTGGATAGCTGGCCAATCAGAGCACACCTCGCTTTTTCAGACTGATGAGCTTTGTAAAAATCGACGCGTTTCAGAAAGGCGGGGCATAGAGGAGAAACAATAATGTACAGTATGTGGAAAATAATGTGTTTTTTGAACCTTAAACCGCATAAACACATTTCATTACACCAAATACACAAAAGAATGTTCTTTTTAGCAGCATCATATGACCCCTTTAAGAACTATAAATGACAGCATATACAAACAAAAATTTCAATGCAAAAAATTTTTTTACATAATAAAATAAATTATTAAACATTACAATTCCCCTAATCTGGACTAAGTTACAGATGTTCTCTCACTCAAACAACTCTAAAAATAAAGTGCTCTATGACTGGAAAGAGGTAGAGGTAGAAATTTTTTCCCCCTAACCTTATTAAATGTGTCATCTTTCACATAAAATTCTTACATTGTTTCATTTAATTCAGTTAAAATAATATAAAACTGTAGAGTTGTTACCATTCAAATGAAATGCAATGATACTTTTAAATATGAAACCAAACCACCAGTAGGTGGCGCCAAATGACTGTTTTAATGAGCAAGTCATTTAGTCATTCATTCAACTGATTCGGCTGATTCAAGAAAAGTTCTCTCTCACTTGCCCCTTATATAATACATACATACATACATACATGTATTTAGTTAGTTACTTAGTGTTCTCCATAATCATATGACCAGGTTATATTGTTGGTTATGTTGTTAAAATCAGGTAGTCGTCAATATTATCTTTTAAATATGCACTCTTGATGCTGATATGTATCTCCACATGCCCATGGAGTTGCACAGACTCAAACTGGGATTGTTGAATGATGTCAAAAACAGACTCCTCGTTTTAGTCCAGTCTTCTCAAGAGTAATTCATAACTATTCAATTTCAACTTAAAATCCACAGTACAGCACACCTGTCTACTGCCATCCACTGTCTCGTTCTTACGGAATTGTAAAGGGAAATGTCCCTCTAGGGCTTTCATCCTCTCCAACTACACAGATGTTGAAAATCAAAGAAAGAATGACGGGATATTTCTCTGTCCACATGACCAGAGGGGAGAGCAAAACCCTCCAAAAGCTTTTTCTTAAATTCGCTTTTTGTTTCAAGCCAGTCTGATGGAACATTTGCTGTGCATGAGGCCAGGACACAGTCATCTGAGTCCACTATCCTCCCTCACACACATCCCTCTGGGCTATTTCTATCCACAGTGACTTCACTCTACCAGTGCATGCAGCGAT